GACCAGTTTACAAATGAAGATATAGTTGGGCCAGGTTCTATTTTGCGTCATTATAGAACAAAGCAATATGCAAAAATTACATTTAAATCGTGGTATAACAATTTGCTCGTGTAGTTGGGTCAAAAAATACGTGCATCTTCTGAGACCTTTCTCATAATGACCGCTTACATATATTAAAACGACCCAACCGACCCACAAACGCCCAGATCGATCCAAGAACAGTCGAATTGTGACTCAAATGACCCAAATCCAATCAATCACATACCATAAGTTTTAATCCACTAACCAAACTTCGGCTGTGGATCAAGCACCAGCCATTTGATAAGTTTTTTGAGAGCACTGTTCGCAAGACTAATTTCTTGTCTCAGTCTTACTTATCATGAAGAATCATGAGAATGAGCACGAAACAAGTTATGCATTTTTCCGTCCATGTCATGGTTTACAATTTTAATAATTACAATGTAAAATAGACAATTTGTGTGTTTAATTAATTAATTTACTTATTAATAAACTTGGTGGATTTGAAATCAAACGTGAATTCGTTAAGTTTGCAATCTGCTTGTCAGCTTATTTGCACTAATCATATTTTGCAATATGCAAGTTAATCATTTAATTTGGGTAAAAGCGGACTGATAAAATAAAAAAAAAATAAAAAATGCATCTAAAATGTAGTACACAAGTTTGCACGTTTATATTATTTATATTTTTGACTTATGAAACCCGTCTTTGTCGTAGTTACGCTTTCACGTTTGGCCTTTTTGGCATCGATATATTAGCAATAACGTACCGTTAAACACGTCACAGAAAATAACGGAGACGATGTAATTTTTTAATTGCAATGTTTTTCATTGATTTATTATTTTTGTTCACAGCAATTATTCTATATTATTAAACGTCATAGAGGATATGAAAATGGTGTGATTGTTTTCAAATTGTAAAATTTTTAAACTTGAAAATTGTTTGTTTAGTGTAAATTTTGTATTGATTTCATCAAACTATTTTGATATTATTAATATTTTAGTACAGTGTTTTTTATTGATTTCATCAACATATTTTAATAATTATTTTTACTATTTTTTTATCGCTCCGTCCGTTTACTATGCTTTCTCGGGAATACATCGACATTAAATATCACGCCATAAAGATATCGAAATGTGAAAATGTTTTTGAAGGGATTTTGAGTGTTTACTATTGAATATTTTGATATTATTAATATTGTAAACATGATACATTATTATAAATAAATAAATGCATGAAGCGTTAAACACAACAGTGTAGTTAATGTTTCTGTTTTGAAAATGCCATGAACGCTACTCCCTCCCTCCTGACATCTTCTCTTTCGCCGCCTAATTTTACAAGGACACAGAACTGATTCAGATCCAGGAACGTTGTCCTAGATCAATCGAGGCCCACGGCAAAACACGTACTGTTTTTTTGTGCCAACGAGATTCTGCTTAATTTGATTAACGACTAGCTTTTGTCGTCTGGTTTCAAGAATATTTTTTGTATACGTCTAGATATACCAACACCTGGTGTCACTTTAGGTATACGGTCATAGCTTTTTTAGTATCTCACTGAATAATGTATGAGAGCGAGGATGTACTCGTTCGAACGATTTTGTTTACGCCCGTGACCTAATCCAATCAGATTATAATACTTGCTAGTGTGGCTGGGGTCACGGTCAGCTGATTTTTCCATACGTTTGGCCACAGTTGAGGGAATGTGGTTTGGCCTATATATAATTCGCTACGACAAGGGCGTCCGTTTTCTCAAAGCCGTTGCTGTATAACTGAAAAATACACTCGTACTCGAAACTGTGCCGATTTTTGACAACTGCAAAACGGCTAATAGAGTTGTTGTCACGACCGAACATTATGTCAGACTCGGGCACCGAATAACCGATACCCTCGCGAACTCTTCTGTCAGCCTTCTTGTTTACGGCATGCTACTTCCGGTTTTCCCACGATAGTATTACTAAAAATAAAAACCCAACCTTGTGAATGTTATAACTGACCAATCACACGGGTGGGATATCACTTACGTAAGGAATAGACAGCAATTCGGATTGTTGCCAGGGGCCTAACCTGATCCGACGACCCAACCTAGCTACAGTCGTAGAAAGTGAAAAGTGCGTTTGAACAGTTCCCGTCGTTCTTTACATCGGTGTTATTTTATTTTTACTATTGCGAAACCATTAATTGGTATTTGTACGGACTTTACGGTATACATCACAACAGTGTAGACTCGGCAAAAATTTGACCCAACGGCACAAAGATCACAACGTTCTACCTACATTCTCGTGGGTACCTCTGAATCTCGTTGATTTCCCCCACATTCGCCTCGTGTATCCCTTAACGTATCCAGCCACTCTGTCTTCGTATTCGAACTCGGGATTCCAAATCAAGGATGCATGGCCAAAAATCCACATTTTATAAAACAGAGCCGCACAATCACGTACTGGGACAGTGTACAATAGCGGCACTCGTAAGCAAAACAGCTGGGCTCAGGTGACCCAGAGTCTGATATCACAAACTGCGCATGTGTGTGTATGTATGTATGTATGTATGTATGTATGTACATGTATGTACATGTATGTATGTATGTATGTATGTATGTATGTGTAGTGTAGTGATACGTCATCAGTTTGTGTGCATTCGAACTGAGATTCCAACGATGATACCAAAATACTAATATTCAGTGCGTACCACAGGGAGCCCGGGAAAACTATAATCAAGTGTAGTACGCAGTCTCTATGAGAGGG